TGGAGAAAAAATTTTCCAAAAAAATGGAGAATTATAAAGAGTCACCCTAAATTGAAAATAGGGTTTAAAATTATTGTGTACTTTATTTATGTATAAATAAAATTATTAAACATATGCCATCTGCAAGAATAAAAGCGAAAAGTATTTTAAGAAACATGTTACTGTAGTAGAACAATGAAGAAAAATAATACGAAATTGGTCCAATAATAAAACTATTAAACCCTATTAACCTAAAATCAAATTAAAAAATATCAGCAATTGCAGAAAAAACTAAGTGAAATTTAAATACCTAAAAATAGGATGAACAAAAATTATCTTCAAGGAATTAAGCATTTACGGCTACATAAATAAAAAAGTAAAGCTCACAAAGACTGTTTATGGTATTGTACATAGTATTTACTACAATAATGTTAATAATAGGATTGGTCATCCACACACTAGTTAATTCAAAATAGTTTTTAAAAAGTTAAAGAGGAAATTATGCTTTTATTCTGATTCTTAAATCTATCTAAGAATATGCTTCCCTTTGATTTTAGTCAAGATCTTCAATCTACTCCCTGATAACTTACAAATTCTCCTTTCAATATAAGAGCATTTTAGGTCAAAAACAGTGGTGTGAATGATATTCGCAGGATTGTATAAGGGTTGGCTCAATAAATTATAAATAAATACCCCCTTCTACAAAGGCATTTTAGCAAATTAAGGAGTTATAAATTAAGCTAATGTATCTTTTTAACGTTTATCTGTTCGTTCTATTGATTATTCTTTCTTAAAATCCCATAAACGGAGAGAGTTATCGAAGCTGCCAGATGCTAAATAATTTCCATCAGGTGAGAAACAGACTGATCTTACCTAATCAGTATGACCATCTAATTTACTTATTTATTATTCTTTCTTAGTATCCCATAAACGTATAGAGCTATCCTTACTACCAGAAGCTAAAGTATTTCCATTAGGAGAGAAACAGACTAAGTTTACATCAATAGTATGACCATTTAATTTACTTTTTTATTATCCTGTCTTAATATCCCATAAATGTATAGACTTATTACTACTACCAGAAGCTAAAGTATTTCCATCAGGAGAGAAACAGACTGAGTAGACTGTACTTTTATGGCCATCTAATCTAGTTTTTTATTACCCTGTATATACATTCCATAAACGGATAGACTTATCATCATTACCTGATGCTAAAATATATCCTTCAGGAAAGAAACAAACTGAACAGACAGTATTAGTATGACCATCTAATTTTGCCTTTAATTATCCTGTCTTAAAATCCTATAAACGTATTGAATTATCTGCCTTCTTATTCTTATCCCAATCACCACCATCAGATGCTGAGATCTTGCCATCAGGAGAGATACAAACTGATAATACATAATCACGATGACCATCCAATTTATTCAACTCAATAATCTTTATATTATTCCATAAGCAATTTAATAGTTAAGCTCCATTAAAATTATTACCATTAATATCTACATTGTCTAATTATGATCCACTTAAGTTGCATCTTACAAAAGTTCCCCCTATTAAAGAAGTATTCCTTATTCTTATGTATTCCCAACTCTAATTACTCAAATCTGCCTTCAATTCCACTAATAAGTCAATAAGTGAAGTGAATTTGATCCGTATACTATGAACTACTTATCAACGGAAGTTAGACGAACTAAAAATTTAAGAATGATATGAACTTTTTATTTTTTTCTATATTACTCATTATGTCTTTTTTTAATTCTAAATATTGTTCGGAGGAGAAATCCTTTAAATTTATGTCATTATCTTTAATATTTTAGAGCGTATTAAGAATAATCTTAATGTCCTTTCCGAAAACTTCGAACTTGTATCCTTCATCTGCAATTGATGTATTCTTGAGTTTTATGATGCTTGATAGAAGATGTATTTGATTTACTTCGATCGAAAGATATTCAATAGTATCAGATATGTTTTATTTTCTAAATATTTCTATTATACGAGTGTATATCTTTATTCACCTACAAAACGTTGGAAACAATATCAAATAAGGTTTCTTGTTAGTTTTTAGAATTATTCATTATCTTTTAACACAATTAATGAATTTCAATTACTTTTATATTGAATTTTAAATATAAATCATAAATACCTAGAATTAGATCTATTTTGAAGTTTAATTGGCCATTTATTATTTCTTTGTTTCTCTTGAAACGTTTTAAGATTTTGGTATTATCCTTTAAAATTTCTACTTGAAAAGATTACATTGTTCAATCATAAATAAATTGAGAATGTTTTGTGCGATCCACGAATATGTTTCGTATTAATCAAAAGAACTCACCTATAAATTATAAAACAACAATACTTGACATCATCCTAATTTCTCATATAATTTTGTAATTGTATTTAATTGACAATTAAATAAAAAAACATCTCTAATATATGTAGTATATATTATATATAGTTATATATTAAAATATATAATTGTAATTTTTAAAAAAAATAAGGTCAGGTTATATATATCAAAATTTTTATAATGATTTAGTTTGATTGAAAATGTAAAAGTAAAAGGACTCTGTGGACATATTATTTTTTGAGAAAGCTTTTGAGAAGTAACCTTTTTATTAATGAATCCTAATAAATTAATATATTGCCCATCCCTAGTCAAGCTAATAAATTATTTTAAACATTTTTTGTTTATACCTTCTTTCATTATTTAGTAAATTCTCAACTGCTTTATTTTCATATTTATATGCTATCATTTTTAACAATTGTCTCATTATCTCTTTTTTAAATTTGTAGTGGATCTTCACCAGAATTCTCAATAGTTATTTTCGAATATTATTGATTATATATACTATATACACTTGTTAGAGTATTATTATATCATAATATGATTTAAATATATTATTATGGTTATTTTTT